CATGAGTGAGGATACCTTGTTCACACAGGCTCCCATTGACCAGAACCAGCTCAAGCTAATTGTTGGGGCCCCCAGGGCCGGAAAGCGGAGCTCGGTGCGGGATCGCTGCATGTTTGCGAAGCAGCCATCTTTGAGGGTGTCGCGGTGTCGCCCATTCATCAGCCCTTCGCCAAGCCGGTGGATCCAACCACCGTGAGTGGGACCAAAGCCGACCAAGCAGGTAGGTGGAGCTGGACTCGCCCGCTTTCGATTCGCAGTTCATGTCTGCGTAAAGCATACGATGTCTTCGATCGCCATCCTTTTTCGATGTCTCCGTTGCATGAATGTACATCTGCTCGCTGCTTGGCCCAAAGAGTCCGCCCGTTGTCACGAGGTGAAGCATTGACAGACAGCCAGGGTTTCTAAGTTTTCTTAAGATCTAAAGGAAACCATGAAATCATGAAAAAGCGCTATAGAACGCACAATATTGGCGGTTCAATCAGTTCTTGGTTGGAACCACTTTTCATCGCGCTAAAACCTGGCCCAGCTCCATTTGGCCGGCGCACTGGAGGCTCCGGCGGCTCCACCGGACCTCGTCCCGCCATGGCTAACACCGCGCGCGCACGTGACGAGGACGAGGACGCCGGGGACGACGCCCCGAAGCTCCGCCGTGTGGCGGACGAGTTGCTGGGCTCCAACGAGAAGCCTACACGCTTTGTGTGGTGTTTGTTGTGGGTTTTGGGTCCTTGCATGATCTGAACTGCTCGTTCCAAACGCTTCTTCTTGCTGCAACAAGCTTGCGGTGACGAGATCATGTGTGTCGTGAGGCAAGTTGTCGCTGGAGAAGCAGCTGTGAGTTTGCTGAGAGTCCTAGCAGAAGAAGGGGTTCACAAAGGAAACTGCTTGCTGCGGATGCCATCAATGCAATTGCTTCACTGACCCTGTAGACCATCGACCCTGTACCGCTGCCCATTGGCTTGCAGACCTTGACCTTTGGTTGTCGATTCAAATCAGAGCTTGGATGGTGTATCATTTCCCAGCGGCTTGCAGACCTTGACCTTTGGTTGTCGATTCAATCAGAGCTTGTATGGTGTATTGCTGCCCAGCAGCTTGCTGACCCTGACCTTTGGCGATGACTTTGACCAGAGCCTGCACTGTGCACAGCTGCCCAGCGGCTTGCAGACCTTGACTTTTGGTCGTGCAGAGTTCACCGCCAGCTTACTGTAGATGGTCTATCGCTGCCCAGCGGCCTGCTGAATTTGTCGCTGCTCAATTGGTCACACACCTGTCCTGCTGAGGAATTGGACTGTCTCGCGCTGCCGAGTAGCCTCCAATACATCCACATTGACGACTTTGGGATCCGTGTTCACCCGACTCTTTGAGGGGACTTCGGCCTGGATCATGATAAAAATTCTACAGCGATTTCAGGCAATGCAGGTGAAATGAAGGCGAAGCAGCAAGTTGGATGGTGTAGCACTCCCCCTTAGAATACCATATTCCTCTGCAAAACAGGTGGTTTTCTAGTTCTTTGCTTATTTCAGGGAGTGTAGCACTGCCCAGTAGCCTGAACGTGTTGACCTTTGCTGCTGATTTCAACAAGAGATTCGCAGTGCAATGCTGCTCCTTGCCGTCGTGAGCACAGTTTGATATAACATCTTCGCCTGCAGTGAGAGAGCGGTGTTCGCAGCAACGCTTCGGGGGTCCTTCTCCACTTCTTCTTGTATCTTTTGGGCTGCACTTTGCAGGCTTTGGGATTGTGAGTCATCGGGAAGTGACATGAAGTGGCGTACTCGAATGTCCAGAGAGAAAAATCATCTTTGGGGACTCCGTCACGGTCGTGTCCCGGTGGCACCTGGCATCAAGATATTGCCCATTCCTTGCACGCAGATTCCGATCAGCTATGGGCGGCCACATGGTGTTGCGTGGCCATTCGTTTGCCTCAGGATTTTGGCCTCTCCAGCGTGGTTAGCACTGGCAAGGCCCAGGGGACGTTCCCGAGAGGACGGATCTAGAATATGTTGAGCTCACATGGGAGCTCTACGTCGCTGCATTGTGAATGATTAAATCTGCTTAGATTCATTAAACTAGCTAGGCAAGCACAACACATTTGGTTTCTTTTTTTATCTTTGCATTGGTTTGTGCGGCGTCTGGGTGTGTGCCACGCTGAACCAAATTGGATCTTTAGATCGCCCTGGGGCACCATCTACGCCAGCTTCATGCGTGTAGAACGTTTTTGTTTCTCCGCAAACCTTGCTCTGTACGGCTAAGGGCAGAGACCTTTTTGAGCTTCATCGAAGTCATTGGTTGAAGCACAGATTGGTGGAGTTTCGCGAGAAAGGTTGGGATAGGTAATTGTTGTAATTACATAATTAGGTGCATTTTCTGTATTCAGTGTCTTTCGAACCATCCAGGTCCCCACATCGTTTTTCGCCTCCAGACACCCGTCCTTTTGCAACTGTGGCAAGCTGCACGGAAAGATGCTGGAGATGGTTGTTCAACACCCTGGGGCGTGCCAGGAAATTGTGATTCAAGGTCCATGCCAGAATGAAGCAGCAACATACAAAGCAAGAAATCACCAAAGGGTTGCTGTATATCAGTGGTATAAGTCCGAACATTGTCGAGTGAGTGCCATCTTGCAGATGATCTGGGGATTCCACGGCCAGATCAAGAGTTGACATCCCTTTCAATCGGTGGGGTCTACAACCTGCTAAAGACCGGCTTACTGTGATTGTGCGCAGCTTCCATCAGCTGCAGGCCATGTCAACCAAAGCTGGAACGCCTTACTACGTGGCACCCCAGGCACTGTCCTGTCGACACGGTAGGGTTCGGCAGATGTTGGCTTTCAATGGATTCGGAGGTCTCCACTTGCCTTAGATCAGGAGACTGCGGATGATCCCGATGACCGGTTTCTTCGTCCACTACTTCCACTAGTCAGTATGTCTTGAAGACCCTGACCGAGTTTGGGTGAAACCTTCAGTTTTCTTCCAAACTCTTTCCAGAACCGAATGCATTGGCCGGAGTCTTAGGGCCAATGAAACCATGAAGTGAGAATATGTTCATCATCCCTAATGGCTCGGCTTTGTCCAGGTTTCGGTGCCCCCTCCAAAATTCTGAGCCAAGGCTCAAGCGGCCGCCTTTCCCGGCAGGTCTTGCAGGGGCACTATGACCACCTCTGTGATATTTGGAGCTGCGGTGTCATCATGTGAGCCCATCGTGGGCTCACGGATGATGTTGTTGGAGATCGGTAAGGCACAAACAGCCAGGTTTCCAGCACTTGAGGATATTTGTTGAGCCCAAAAACATATGCATGTCGCTCCGCGACGAGCTCCTCCGGCACCAGGATAGTATCAGCATGGTGCGTCAGATTGATTCTTTGGTTCAGAGTTGAACCCACCATGCCACAAATTTGGCCGTTGTGGAACAAATTTCTGGACCATGTTGCCCTTGTCGGGTCCATGTTTAGGTCAACTTGGCCCAAGTTGCTCCCGTTTGGGGCTGAGTTAGGAGACACATGATGCAACTTGGGTCTTTGGGTTCAACATGTGCCCAAGTTGCCGCTAGCCAGGCTTGCAGCATGTTGGGTTCAATCGGGGTCAAGCTGAATTTTTGGCGGTCACAGACGGGAAACAGGTGCAAGCGACCCCGGCTTTTGCTTCTGTTGCTTTTTTTCACAAGCGCATACCTTTGACTATGTTGGACTTTTCGGGAACACTATGAAACATGGGCGGGCCAAGTTAACGCCAAGATGGGCCCATGTTCGGAAGGTGTTGTCCAAAAACACGATTCCAAAAATGCCCCGGTGGCTGAGCGAACTGAGCTATTGGGCCGGCACTACGACGCAAGTTTACTACGCCTCAGCAACTTGGGTGCAGGTGGATTTCTTTACTCTATACACTACTGACCATTTTTCCTCAGGGACTCATGCAACCCTTAGAATGATCCCATAGGCACCCTGAACATTTCACAAGTGAATCCGCTCCAGGCACTTTTGGACACGATGTAAATCTGTAAACAATTGACCTTGATCATCAATGACGCCCAAACTAAATGCAGTTGATTGAAGGTCATGGAGGTTGAACCTGCCAGGGTGCTTATTGATCAAGACCCAACATTAGAGTTCGATCAATGAATTATGCCATCGTATGCCATGACTGAACACCACCTGCTGTGGTTGGTGCAGATGCGGCAGTGATTGCAGGTACACTTTGCTTTGCGGCTATCCTCCTTTCTATGGCAAGACTGACCAAGAGGTGTGGACATGAAACTAAAACCAAGAGTTTCCTGGTACTTTAAGTGCAATCGTGGGGCAAAGATCGGGGCAAAGATCAAGATCTTGTGATTCAATATGAATTTGGTTCGAACACGGTCAATCTAGAGCACTCGCTTTGAAACAACCCCCGATGCGATGATTCTGGCCCATCCCAGACCCCTTCCGTTGTTTTTCCTTTTCCTCAAGTCCAGTTCTTGCATATTTGGGCCGAACACGATGTCAGGAATGGGACACACTCTTGAGTCGTGGGCCCGTGGGTGTCCGAAGTTTACTTGACCCAAGTGTTGGTGGTTCCATGGGCGTATGATAATGCAGCGGTTGCTGTGCCCAATCGTTTTTGTTGTGTTGTTTCTTCAAGATTCAAATCTCCAAGGTTTGAAGTTTAGAAGATGATTCTCGGAGGGAAACTAGAAACGAACTCACAAGAACACATCAATAACCCAAGTAAAAACAAATTAAAAGAAAAGGACAAAAGCAATGAAAGGGATATTCCGCCACCACATCATACATATACATATATATATATATATCTCAAAAACCTCGAAGTGGATCCTACCACCACATGTGGGCGCACCTATTTTCCAACCTGCGGAACTCGTGCCTAAAGGTGTTCCCTCGACGGCCGGCAAGTGGGCTGGTGCTCATGCCGAATGCAAATCAACACTGCTTATAATCTTCTTTTAGAAAATCGACGAAGCATCTTTCATGCAGTGCTCGAATCTAGGCAGCCTATCGAGGATCCAATCGTGATTCACGACTTGAAGACCCTTCGCGTGCTGGTGCCAGCGATGACCTCACCGAGTGAGCTATCCGACTTGCACTGCTCGGCTTCATGCTGAACTAGAAAATTGGCCAAGTCAGCCAACTCACCACCAGCACTGGACTGCCGGGACTTGCACCATTTGATGTATCCCTTGGTCTCTTCCGTGCCGGCATTGATCAAGTCAGCATAGCTCATTCCCTTGCCTTTGAACTTGCCAAAGCCAATGATCGACTGGCTCCACTGTGTCAAACCCTTCACTCCAGCTGGCAGGTAGGTCGGAGCCGGGTCCAGCGATGAGCTGGGGAGTGGCACAGGCATCATTTCCTTGACATAGTATCCCATAGAGCCGTCGGTCTGCAGAGGCATGGTCGAGCTCTTTTGGTTTGGCTTCTTTGCCACGGGCATTTGGTCATCTCCCAGACGCTTGGTGGCGTCTGACATGCCACCAGTGGTCACCAATTCAAAACCATCGTCCTGAAAGTGACGGCCGGTCTTCTCGAGAGCAGCAAGAGGATGCACACCGTTGGCAGCTGCTTTCTGGAGCAGCTCTTGCAGCTTGGCGGCATCATCAGAGGTCCAAGCCATTTTAGATCTTGGTCGGCTGACTCGAAAACAATTCGTGCTCACTTCAAAAGGCTGCGGAGGCATTAACGATTGAAAAACATGCACGGCACTGCTTAACCAACATTTCACAAAAACAACATATGCACTGAAGACTCGCACCGCATAGTGCTCCCACAAGATCTCTCCCGAATATGACTATCTTATCTTTCACTATTCAAGATGTTAAAGTCTTTCAAGCATAGCTGATCTATCTTATGGTTCTGAGTGAATTATGGGATCGCACGTTGGCTCTGCATTTTTGCCAGGGGAATGATTGGATGCCAGTTGACGTCTCTGCATCCGAAGTTCCCTCTCAGCAGCTTGTTGAGCCAAAACATGTTCCTCAGGTGAGATTTGGTATGTTCCACTTCTCATGCAAGCCCTTAGGAGATCTACAGGATCTAGTTTATCCTTAGTGAGGGCGTCGGCAAGCATGCGATTCGTGGGAAGCCATCTCATGGAGGCTTTGAGTCTACGAATGGATTCTCTGATGATGACAATGTCGATGCTGGTTCTTCGATCTTCTACTGCAGTGGGTGATGAGGGTGAAATCAAGTGGTCATACAACGATTTGCAATCTGTTGTGAGAATCGGTGATCGAGCTTGAAGTCTTTCCAGGAATTGCCTTGGCTCAAAACTGCCATCCAGGGCTTCGCTCAAAATCAGACTCATCCATTCAACCGTGCCTGACGCGGTGGACAGAGCTTGACTCTCTCCAGCGAGTGTGGAGCTCACGGCTCTTGGCAGCTTGTAGCTGCGCCAAACAATCGGAGTCCAATGAGAAATCTTTCCTTCATTCAAGTCTTTATCTACAAAGGACAGGACGTACCCAGCCTGGGTGTGAGTTCCAACATTCGCAAACGCTGCGTCAGAATGACAACAGATTCGGAGTCGTGCTGGATCAATCGGATGGAAGTGGATCTTCAAATCCTTATGTTGCTTGATTCTACGAACAGCATTATTTGCTTCTCTCAGATTCTTGATGGTCGGCCTAGGGAAGCATTGTTGACTAAGACTGGTCTGAACCGAAGCATCAGGTCGTGATTGAGTAGAAATCCAGTTGAGGCTTCCATTTATCGCCCGAAGAACCCTGGTCTGTTGCTCGTTCAAGGGTTGTTCATTGTTTGCTCCCTTCGGAATGTGGGCCGGTCTAATCCCTTCAGCAAAGGTCTGTTGCGACATTGATATGCTTTTGGTTTTAGGATCTTGTGTGTAAAAAGCTCCACAAAACTCTCCTGACTGAACCCGCCATTTCCGGTATGGGAATCGTTCCTTGAGTTGATGCACTGCCTTTTCGAAAAGGGGTCCAGTTCCACCTATTGCTGTATCGTCAACGTGAACACCCATGATACCGGTTAAACCATAGTGGTCACGAAGAAAATAGAGACAGGAGTCGAAGGTGGACTTTTCCCAACCAATGCTGGTGGCGGCTTGGTCGAAAGCCCTGTGCCATGCGGACGGAGCGTCGTTCTGTCCGTAGACATTCCCAACCACCTCCAAGACAGCGTCTGCCTCGACTCCAGGGATGCCCCTTGAGGCTGCTTTGCAAACAGTGGCCGAAATCTCTCTGGAAGTGGACCGGCCTCTAGGAAGGCGCCTCTTATATCGCCTAACTGCAAATCCCAACCATGTGAACATATGACTTGCATTAGTATCATACGTCCAATTTGACTGAGTGTGGGGCTCTGGAGGAGTCCCTCATCCAATTTTTGGTCGAGATCTGGGTCTAAGTGACCTTGCAAGCACCACCTGCTTTTGATGCGGAACGTGGAGGGATCCTGAATGTCGATATGCAGGTTTTCTTCTAATGGTTTTCTCACAATGACAAACCTGCTACCCATGAACCGTTCTGGATATTTGCTTCTTAGATATGCTGCCTTCTTACCTGTATGAACCCGAATAGCCCCTTTTTCTATCAATGTGGACCATTCTACCAGCTTGGATTCGTCCACCATTTGCTGCACAAGAGGTTCATTTCCCACAGCAGGCACTTCTTTAGATGTCTTCTTCTGAAGATATGCTGCGATCAAGATTTCAACGTCTTGGGTCTGATCCCAAATTTGCATCAGTTGTTGACATTCTTGCACTGACATGATTTCATGTGACCACTGGGAGGTTAGCGACTCTTGTGCGTCATCAGTCTTGGGACGCACAGCTGGTGGCTCTTCAGTTGCCACTTGCGAATCGGCAGACCTCTTAAGACCACTACCGCTGCTGGGACCACTGGACACGTCTTGCATGCTGTCAGGATCTGGTTCCCAATTCACTGCTGATGATTTATCAATATGCTCAGTGATGAGTCTGGGGACAACTTCAGTCATGAGATCCACAAAGTCATCTTGCAGCATAGGTCTTGGTCGAAAGAGTGCTGCTGGTCCACTTTTCATGGCCACTCGCGATCGAGAGCGAACGGGGCCATAACTCGAGGCAGTCTTCAAGTCGGATCCAGATGTTGAGTTCTCTTCAATGGACTTTTCTTCATCGGTCTTCTCGCCTATCAGTGGATTTTCAGGAGGACTTGGAGCTCCCTCGTCAGTACTTGGGGGATGAAGAGGCAATTGGTCAGACTCCTTACCAGGCTGATCAACGGACCCAGGCACTACAGGCGGATTACTGGCCATTGGAACATCGCCTATTTGATCAGTCTGCACTTCAGGTGGATAATGTCCAGGAACCAAATCAACAAAGTTCTGACTTCTGAAAGTACCCCCTTGGATGAGATCTTTGATTCCTAACAGCTCAGATTGGGACGTCTTGACCAAGATACTCTCTTCTGACGTGGCTGGACGCAGTTGTTCGGGCGCACAGCGAAAGATATGCTTGCGATGAGCGATCACATAGTTTCGACCAACTTGACCGATAACTATGGCGGTACCATACCACTTTCCTCCCAAAACTACCCCCTGACCTTGTTGGAACTTCTGATGTCTCCAGTACGCAACCATGGATCCTGGCTCAAAGACTTGGTGCAGGCGTGGCCGGGCCGCCAAGGCTCTACGAAGCGACATACTATCCTGCATTTCGATGACCGCTTTGCGGGCAGACAGTCGAATGGCCTGTGATTGTGCCAGACTGGCTTCATCAAGGCTTGCGGTGGCTGGCACTACATGAAGTGGTTCGTCCAACAAGTCGGAAGGAATGCGGGGATTCTGACCGAACACGTGTTGATGGGGAGTGTAGCCATAGTTCTGAATCATCTGGTTCTTGACATGTGCATGTGTAACACACTCTTCCCAAGCCTTTTGAGTTTCGGGTGTGTGTTCAGCAATGATCTTGGTGAGAATGCGGGCGAACCAACCTCCATGAACTTCTGTTCTACCTAGTTGCCAGTGTGCTTCGCCTGCGATCTGTCGCACTTCGGTGCCTTGCAAATCGAGATGGTTTTGGAGTGCCTCTCCCATGTTAGTTCTGGCCTGATCAAGAACCACTACCTTCGGGGGACCGAAAATGCGAATCCAATGATCGGTGAACAATCTTCGAAGAAGTTCCGAGGTCTCGGCTTGGAAGAATGGGATCACCAGTTGATAGCAACTACCATGGCAAACAATATTTAGTGCCTTGATTTTCTGGTTGGAGGTCCAACCTGGAAGGTTCTTGACATCGAGACCGACGACCTGGTTAAAACCCGACACTCGATTGGTCTTGGCTGGCAATGGCACATGTGGACGAATCTGACTCTTGCACAGATCACAGTCGAATTTGCGAGCAAGGTCAATTGCCTTCTGGCTGGCCTGAGCATGTTTCAGCAGGCGAATCAAGTCATGCACGGGTGGATGACCAAGATTCCTGTGCAACCGATCGAGGACCTTCTTGATTTGGTCATCGGGAACATCGCTACCTAGATCGGCTTTGGCCATCAAGACCTCTTGACATTTCTGCTCTGGGCATGATGGACATGCTGCACAGCTTGCTGCCTCCTGCTTCCTGAACATTGGGATGGTCGACAACACGGCATCTACGAACTGATGAGTGTATTGTCCAGCAAACGTACTTACTTGACCCACACCAGGAACAGATCCGGCAATGTGCTGATGACATGCATGCTTAGGATGTTGCTGACCCGGACATTCTTTGGCCAAAATCTTCATGTCCTCGTGACTGACCAACAAGTGAGTACCCTTTTTGAGAAGCTTGTCAGAACCAGGTAGTCTGAGACCATACCTACACATGTGACAAAGAATCAGGTGGTGTTCTTGACTCAAAGCCTGGACTTCTGGATATGTCCACAGTTTTGAACCCTGAGGGTGTTCCAAAAGCACTCTACCACCTAACTTCACTTGTTGCTCAAACAGTTGGCAGCAAAAGCGGATGTACATGCGACTCTGAGCTATGCGTCTTGCATGTTCGGCTGGTGTCATGTACATGCTGTTCAGGTTGAACCAACCGCCTTCGTCCGTGCAAGGCGGACAGAGAACAAGCAATTTGGGGGGTCTCTCACTCAGTTCTTGCTTCACAGCTGACCTGTCGGCGGCACGTCGAAAATCATACCCGTTGAGCAAATCGTATGAACGACTCGCGAAGCCCATTTGTTCCACCACCGGACTAAATCGAGGCGGTGAAAAGACTTCGGCAACTAGAAGTGTCTTACCATGATCATGAGACTGTTGGGACTTGTCATGGGGCTGTACGGCAAGCGTCTCCCGAACAATGGCCTCCAACTGCCGAAGATGATGCTTGGGCAGGCTCTCCAAGACCAGACACTCTTCCTGTGGCGTGTACAGAAATTCGGTTTGACATCGGAGTACATGTGGAGGGAGTGCATGACGATACTTGGCCTTACCTTTACTGGGATCAATTGGCTCGTCGAAAAGCACCTCATGAGAATCAAGGTCGGTCACAATTCTATGTTTGACTGTCGTCCATCTGGGACCCTGCTTACCTAGCGAAGGAACATGAGTGGCATACATATCTACCCTACTCCACGATGCTGTTTCGGAATTCGGAGAACCTGCATCTGGAGCCATCAGCTTCTCGTTGTTGAGCTCGATGGACGACATGGCCGGCGGATCACTACCCGACACGTCGAGGGTTGGTGCACTGACCTGATCGATGGCGGTGGTCATCATGATTTCTTCGAAGGCACTGTTGGAGCCTTCAGGATTGCCAAGCAAATCAACAGTGTATTGGCCAGCTTGATTGGTGGCCAAAGGAATGACTACACGATCATCGAAAACAGTCAGTTCATTCGTTTCGAAGTTGATGGTGGCTTTCAGGGTTTTGAGTGCACTGCGAGAGATCAACAGGGGCGCTTGGCCCTGCACAATGGCTGCCTTGATGGTTCCTGCCCTGCCACCGAGATGGACGGGCGCACGAATGGCCTGTTTGGACATCTCTTTGTGGCCGTTACCATACTTGAAGTGGTTCACCTCAGAGAAAGGCTCTGGGATCTCCATCTGGCGGGCTTTCCACAAGTCTTTGAACTCTTGCAATGCGTCCCAACCAATGATGGAGCGGCCACAACCGGAGTCCAAAACTCCGAACCCAGGTGAACTCACAAGCAGCTGCTCTTCAGCAGTAGGTGAACATTTCTGTTGCTTCTCTCTCAACCACTGCAAGGATCGCCAAGAGGATGGCAGGATGTCGATCATGGCGATGAAGTGTTCTTCAACTACCATGGCTGCAGCTGATTCCTTGCCCTTGGACGACCCTTTTGAGGATGCTGACTTGTTCCAAGCACCCTTGCCTGACTTGCGCTCACGAGCCCAATGTCCGACAGCACCGCACTTGTTGCATTTGGTGCGACGCTTCAACTCCTCAATCTCGACTTTGAAGGAGCGACGAACATCTTGAGCTTGCTTGAAACGGCGGGCACGTTGGAGTTGACCCATCTCTTTTCTCCTCTCCTTCCAAGACACAGCTAGGGCCTCGGCTACATCAGGTTCATCGAACAACTCATCAGGTTCTTCGGAGGCGACCTGATGCTCTGCTAAGAACTGTTCAAGTTCGTCGAACTCTTCATCAGCAGCGATGTCGTCCTCAGGAGGTAGGGAATCCTCGACCAGTGAAATTCCTGCAGCGCGTCTCTTGCCAACAACGAAGTCGGGGTAACAAGAGCGCATGGCACGACCGATCTCTTCCCTCTTCAACACTCCCAACGACCGAGCGAGGACAACTGCCTTTTGCTCATCGCTCAAACCAGATCGATGTAGGGTCATCCAACCGCGAGCTTCCTCAGGAAAGTTGACGTTGACCTTGCGTTGACATCGATCAAACAGTTCAGTTGCTCGAGAAATCCAGGCCTTCAGAGATTCTCCCTCATGGGATTTGACTGCAAACACTTCAGTCAAAACTTCCGACATCTCGTCGGAAGCGTCTTTCTGAGGAAAACGCTGGTCCAGGCGTTCGAAGATGATCTTCTCGCCATCCTTCTTCTGATAACTGCTGGGGTCAAGGTGCTCTACACACTCCAATGCTTTGCCAGACAAAAGGGTGTACACGTAGGCGCCACGGGCGTGTTCAGGAACCTTGTCAGCAATGGTGAGCAGTTTGTTGCTCACCCACACCTTCCATCGCTTGTATTCTTTGGCATCTTCTGAATCTCCACTGAACGATCGAAGACCAGTGGAGTCTGAAGTACTAGCAGCCGCGCTCATGCCGAATGATCCGGAGTAGAGTCCTATCTACCCGGAGCCCTGCTATTCAGGGCTCCGCTACCAATCTCAAAAACCTCGAAGTGGATCCTACCACCACATGTGGGCGCACCTATTTTCCAACCTGCGGAACTCGTGCCTAAAGGTGTTCCCTCGACGGCCGGCAAGTGGGCTGGTGCTCATGCCGAATGCAAATCAACATATATATATATATACATAGTGTCCCTTTTGGCCAGCTGAGAAGGCCTTCGAGCGACATTGGTCAGCCTGCCACCTCTTTCCAAGAGAAACATCTCTCAGCTCTGTAAAGGAGCCACGTTTGCTTTGGATAGCTGTGGAGGTTCTCCAGAAGGTCAAGGGTGGCAACTTCACTTTCGAGCACAAGGCCACCTCACGGGACAGCACCGTCAAGCGATCGGGCATGGTGTCACTTCCCTGAGGGAAGATGCTGAAGTACTGGAGATTTCCGTCAATATTATTGCTGTACTATTATTATTGTTATTATTGTTACTATATTACTTTTTTTTTGTTTATTTGTTTTAAATATTACATTTTTAAGAAACAAATCCAATGCCTGGCAGGGCTATGTTTGTGAGAGAATGACCAGTCTTCGACATCTCGCGGAACCCATGATTCTTCCGTGACAAACATTATATACCAGGAAGGGCTGGGCTGGGGCTAGATGTTTCTCGTCATATTCTGATGTTGCTGAACAGAATGTTGCTTAGATGTCCGCCAGGGGAAGCGTGTTTCTACGAGTGCCATGTGCAGGTGTGTGCGAGGTTTTGTTGGCCACATCTTGAGCGCTGAAAAAGTCGGAGTTGCGAGCCCGTCGCGGTTGACACGAACATGGATGTGGGCCAGAACTGGTTATCTCGGTAGAGGCCTGTGCATAAACACCTGCCCAAACCCTGGTGAATGAGCGCGAGCACAATGTGTACCCTGAGCAATGGTCGTGAGTCCCAATGGTCGTGGACCAACCCACCATGGTTTGGGTCCAATCAAAGGGGTCCAGAAATGACCTGCCGGAAGTGCCAGGATTGGAGGCACATCTCCGAAGATGCCAAGGTTTCAGCGGAAAGCCGAGCGGGCGAGATGGCTGGCCCAAGGGTGTGTGTGTATTTTCCGGTACACTCCGAGTCATTCAGACGGAAGTGGTTGGCACCACCTATCCGGTATTCAAAAAAATGGTCATCCAAGGGGCCATGCCATCCACTTCCATGATTAGTCAGTGTAGACTTCATGAACACTGCACAGCTGACTGGGGGTAGTTTTTCTTTTCGTTTCAAATCCTGTGGCTTGCCAAGCGCCATTCTTGGGCTAGGCTGCTGAGGGTGGATACAGGGGAGCCTACTAAGCCTGTACGAAGAAAGAAGGAAGATGCATGAAGTGCCCTCCTTACAGCTTTACATGGCATCCGAGCCAATGCCAGCTCCCATGACCAGGTTAGCGTGGGGATTGCTGTACACTCCACGTTCAGTAGGTTTATAAACACCGTAAAACACCCGTTTGGCCTTCAAGTTTTGAGATTCAGTACGATTTGCAAGAACCTAGAGGCTTCAAACTTGACCCGCCAACTTTGATTGATGTGATTGAATTTCAGCTCCTGCGCAGGGCCTCATCCGGATGCTGATTAAGTTTGACCCCAGCCAGCGCTACAGCGCTGAAGAGGCTGGCTCTTCATGAGGGTCTTGGGAATGCCTAAATCTGAGGTGTCCTGACCCTCCAACCCCCCAACAAAGTGATCCAATGGATGTTCCTCCAGTTTCCAACCGGCTTTGACCCAAGCACCTTGAGCCATTGTGGTCTTTCCTTCCGCTTTTTTGATGCAAGGTGGACGTGGGCAAGCCCACATTACATGGTTTGTCACAGCAGGTGCATAGCAATTCACGGTAACCTCCTGCACATGCTATCCTATTATATACAGTAACTACTCTTGTTATCTATTTTTCCAGAGTATCTGCTACCCAAATGCTGAAGATCTGTCGCTACCTATGAACAGAAGTCCCGTAGAAAAGCATGGTCACGGGAGACAGGTTTTCAATGGTTTTAAGGTTGTCAAATATCATTAGTTGACACATCCAAATATGATACATGGGCCATACCATGTTTGTTGATCCATTTATGTTTCTTCTTCTTCCAGTTTTGAGTCATGACTCTCATGGCCATCTGGAATTCAGCAGATGGCATTTGTTTTTCTCTTTTGGCCTTTTGGCTGTGAACCATGCGCCCAGGCCTTGCAACATGAATGGATCAGGCCAGGGGTTTTGGGGTGTTCAGGATGGCCCGGGAGCGGCAGTGGTGGACTTGGATTGGATTATTGGATTTGAGGCAGTTGGGCACCACAAACCCAATTCATGCCATAACATGGGTATGGTCCGATATGCATGTAGTTAAAATGCCAGCACACATATGCACATAAAATGCAGTCAAGTACAGCACCTTACAAGACCTATCTTATACCCCACATGTGGGCCAAGAATTCTCAGGACACCTCCCGAGATGTTGTTTGCTCACACAATCGGAAAAGGTGTCGACACAGCCATAGATGATTGGCAATCTGCTGGGAATCAACATTCGCTACTAGTAGCTCCTGGCCTTACTACTAGTAACAAGAAGCTACTAGGAACAAAGGGCATCCCTACTAGGAGCAAGGATCGCTACTAGTAGCTTCTGAGGCCCCGAAGATCCCCAGTCGGATCGCCGGGTCCACCTTACCGACCTGAGGTGGTTCGAACAGACTGGGTGGGAGTGGCATCATCCTCATGAAAGACGCCCTCAATAGATACCCTTGGCCTCAAGTAACAAGTGGGTTTGGACGAGGAGTGGATCTTCCATGATTCGTATCCAGACTGATTTGTCATCGAACTTCTCTGAGTTCTCCCCACAGTCGAGCTGGCGATGTCCTCCAAAGGAGTGGCGCAATTCGTGTGGTTTGTGTGATCGTCTGGAGATCCACAGAATGTGTCGGCTCAAAGCAATGACTCTTCAATGCAGCCCACAAAGGGCTGGGCCGTGAATCAGAAACAAAAGACAACCACAGAAAGGGATTTGGAACATCTCCAGGCTTCTTGACTATTCTGTGAACTCACAGGGATATGTTCCCTCTGGGTGAGGCAGATTCCTAGACCAAGACCAAAGGCGACCAGACGACACACAAAGGCAGGGTGTATTCCCTGGACCTTGTGACATTGCCTTTGATGTCCTTGACGAGTGATGTGCCCCTATGAATCCATCGTCTATTCTCTACTTCAAGCAAGTGGAGAATGAGGAAGCACCCTCTTGACATGACCCAAGAACAAGGCAACCCCACCAATCAAGAACAGGCTTTCCCTGTCAATCATCCTGCGGCTTTCCCAGTTGAACCTACAAAGAAAGCTTGACAATCCATTTGCGCTTGATCCGCTTGATCGCCCATGCCAGAAGGTTCGCTGGGTTTGTTCCGAAGGGCCGAACGGGTGCTGAGTTTGGCATCCCGAACTCCATGCCACACTTTGGAGCTACTAGTAGCATTTGATATAGACTCTTGATTAATACATCCCTTGCACCTCTTCATATTACATAATGAAGAGTCTGCATTACAGGCATTCACACGGATCCTGCTTTGAGGGGTCAGAAAGTGCACCGTGTCACATGGATTCGGTGGACATGGAGCTAGGCCGCAAACGGCGAAATGGCATCAGACTTGAATTACTAGAAGCGTCCTTGTTACTACTAGTAAGGCACTTGTTCCTAGTAGCTTATTGTTACTACTCGCGGTTGCAAAACATGAAGTTCATCTGTTCTTGATGGAGAAGGATCCCCAGCTCCAGTTCATCAGAGCAGTGACGTTCTCTTGTATCGTATCCGCCATGACCTCTAAACATGCCTTAATGTACTTGTTCTCATGCGTTAGACCCATGCGGTTTGCGATGGGTCTAATGACCACCATCGATCCCTCCAGTTTCCCAGATCCGGTGGACATCCAGGAGCTTCGCAGGGCGCTGGAGGGCGGCCCAATCTCCCGGGTGAGACCGGGGGGTCGTCCCAGCCGAGATCGGTGGATGGTCACTCTTCATGTGTTTACTTGGGGTTCGAAGAGGTCACTGGGACTGGTGTAATCTCCCACTTGGCAGAAAGGATCTTTTCAACCAAAGAGGTAGCCGCGGTTGATGACTACCACCAGGATAGAGGATGGCCTCAGATGGGGTAAGTTATCATCTACTGTACGATTGTATACGTGCTTTGTTTTTTCCTTCTGGCGGATTTGTACTCTTGTCATCCTTCCATCTTACTTGCGTCTACCACGGTTTCTCGCAGTGGTCCCCACCTTTGTTCTGTCCAGAATTCAAGGATCTCGATCAGGACAACCTTTCAGGATCACCCTCTTCGTTCAATGCTCAAGCAAAGCCTCTCAAGCAAATCGAGAAGACCTCAAGGTTGCATTTTCTGCTACCCACCAGCATATGCGGAGCAAATTAATTGTAGAACGGTCATCAGGATATCAAGGGTTTTTCCCTTCTAGACTCCAGGTCGCCACTCTTTATGGGTGAAGCCCACTTCTTGATCTCCAGGTCTCCAATGGCTGCGCTCTTCTCTCGGTGCCTCTTCTCACTCCACTTTCGGTTGCCTCCACCCAACCCTATACGTCGGGCCTTCACGGCGTAGGTATTTCCTCGGACTACACACGCGTGCAGGGTGAGCTGATCTGGGCAAGGCCCTGCTAGCCGAAGACAGACAGAGCTGGTTTCAGGCCCCTGTTTTGGGTTGGCACATGCGGAACCCGATCTTCGCGACTAGGCAGCCACAACATTTTTGGGATTTGTCGTTTTGTTGTTACTTTTCAAACTGTCTTTTGTGGATGATAAGAACAAATGTGTATGAAGGGATGCGCGAACCTTGGGGTTAATGTGGTTCCAAGAGTACTCAGCAAGAATCCTCAGCATACTCAGCGTACGCCCGTTCTCAAGTAGGGAAGTAAGGCGCAAGAAAGAGCCTATTGGCCCTGGCATTTTGGAGACAGA